AATATATTGCTCTGGCAAGAGCTTGATCAGTTTTTTTCTGATCATCAGGTATCATGTCTACAAATGAAGCTATTGAGAGTCTTTTGTATACAGTTGGTTGCAATATTTGATTACTTGAGGATGTTGATTGGGCCACTCTTTGCGATGTTGATATTATAGAAGCAGCAGCAGCTGCAGCAGCAGCAGTTGGAGGACGTCTGGATCGAGAATCTTAGAAAGAGCTACTTGCATTTTCAGCATCATGATCTACCACCTCCTCACACCCATGAAGGATTTTTTTAATGTCTGCAGGATACTTCTTACATGCAAAGCTGTGTTTGGCCATCCTGGTAGCATTTGGAAATGCACATTTCATTTGACAGTATTTGCAAATTACATTTTTTTTCTCAGAATAACTTGCAGTGTGGAAATGCTTCCATATGCTAGAAGCTGGTCGCAACATTTTGCCGAGGGAGAAAAATGTGCTTTAGTGGCTAGCTTGCATATATAATCACTAAGCTACAGCATGTACAAATTTAGTAATGGAGGGAGGAGAGGCCTCCTCAAAGTTAACTGTGAACAACTTTCCTGCCCTCCAGGCCTCATCTCACTGCTAAGGTTGGGTGATTTGTCACAAAACATCAGATTATTAGAAATTCAGTTATGCATTACATATACTAATGTAGCTAAAATATAATATGCTGAATTTAGAGAAATGTAACCTCTTAGCTTTCAATAAAGAAGTATACTTTCTTTTAGCTCCTTTGTGCTACTTCTGGGGATCTCAAGGTCACAGGGCCAGGAGGAGGCAGGTTCCTTCCAACTCGAAAACCTTTAGATTTGCTCTATCTTCTCTCCTGAGACTTTTGAGCAAGCAGGACATCAAGCTCCTAGTTTCTCATCTCTACAGGAACAAATGGATGCTGCTGCCAGTGTCCACTCCCAGTCCTTTGCGGGGGAGTCAGGAGAACAGGAGCAGATCCACCAACCTCTAGATCAAAAGTCAACAATAGAGGAAGTCCACAAGCAAAGGCACTGAATCCTTCCTTCTCTTGTGAAAATGACAGTGCCCCTGGGGGCAGAAAAGTATCTTGCTCTTGCATTTGACAGTTGTACTGTACTGCTCATCCTTGGGGTACAGGAATTATAATGATCTGATGGTATAGTCTTACATAAAAGCCTTCCTATTACATAGTTATTAGAAAACATTTTTGGGGAGTAAAGGGTAGCAATATATGAACACCTTGTCTTAAATTCTAAAAGAAAGTATTTCTTAAGAGGTTTCTTTTAATCTTTTTTTAATTTAAATTTTTCCAATTTTTCAGAAAAAACTGGGGAAATGTTATTTTCCGTTTGTTTGTTTGTTTTTTCCCAGGCCTTCACATCTCTAAAGCTCAAATGTCCAAATCCATATCTAGATACTTAATTACAGTACATTGGGATCTTCTAGCTGCTGGGCACTTGCAACACTGACATGCTTGTAAAAGTCAGGCTGTTGTTACTTTAGGGTTCCGCGTTTGTTTTATATTTGTATTAAGACCTAAGTGTTGCTACCCTGCATCGATCCAAGTTTTAATAGCTGATTGTAGAGCAGGCTAAGGTGTGTATCAGGTTTGTGCAGGGGTGGGCAAAATGTTGTCCACGGGCCACATGCGGCCCGCCAGGCTATTCTATCCGGCTTGTGGGACCCCTAAAAATTTAGAAAATTAACGTTAATCTTCCCTGGGCTGCCTGTCATGTGGCCCTCAATGGCTTGCCAAAACTCAGTAAGTGGCCCTTGCACCCAAAATAATTGCCCGCCCCTGAGTTTGTGGGAGAAGTCAGCTAGTTAAGAAACAAAGGAAAAAGAAAATGTCAACTTGTGATGTGTAAATTAGAAGTTCTGCTCATCCCTGAAGAGGTTTCCCCCGATTCTGAGTTTCTTACTGTGCAACTGGTAGAACTTGAGGTTTCGTTGTTCCTTTAAGGTCAGCTTGTATTGAACCTAAGCTCTGTCTCCTCCTTTCTCAGGGCAGCAGGCACAAGGGCCTTATAACCTGTGTGCATGACACCCAGTTCTTTAGGGTGTGTTGATACCTCACTCCTCATTTACATCGGCCAGCCCTAAAGCTTTAGTCTTCCACGTTCTATGTTCCCGTCACCAAGAGCAAAACCACTTTCTGTAGCAGTGGAGGCTCTAGCCGGTATAGGGCAGTCCCTCAACTTCCAGCAATAAGAGAAGGTAAACCAGATACAGCAGTGGCTATAGTACATCCTACCTCTGGGATCACTTTGTCCTCTTGAGTCCTCCTCTGGTTCTCTCCCAGACCAACGCAACCCAGTGTAAGTCGCAGTAAAAAATAAATAAATAATTTCTAGAATGCCATGCGAGAGGAGCTGGATACTGCTTGGGAGATTTTTCAGAAATGCAGCTTACGGGGGTGCTAGACTGGAGTCTGTGATGCTTAGCTTTTTTTCTAGTAAAGTTTCTTTGCAGAATTTAGTAAATATGTAAGTACCGTAAAGTTACTCTTCCTTTTAAAAGCTGTGAAAAAATTGCTCTGTCTCCAAGTCCTACAAGATGCTAATGCTCTCTGTTGTGATAGCAAGAGCTTAACATTCAAAGCCAGCATGCTGCTGACTCCAAAATGGAATGAGTTTATGGTTTCATTCAGAAGTGGTACACAATTGGAAGTTGTTTGAGAAGGCAGATCAAATGAGTTTGTGGGCCTTGAATTCCTAGCTAAGCATCTTTTAGATAAATTAATCTCTAGGTATGTTTGCTGAAAAGAAGTCAACAGATCAGAAATGCCTGAACCCTTACAATATGTCCTGAACACAGTTCAGTCCTCGTTCCAGAGCAGTCTGCTAGTGGTGTCATTCTTATTGCTGTCAACGCTTCGCTAGTTTTGAACTTGCAAAAGCTAATAGCTTATTTATTGAGAGCTGACAGTAGTCGAGAAAGGTGCTATAATTGCCTCAAGGACCTTCTCATCTAGAGGACCCGTTCATTCCATTTTTTTTAAGTCTGAGGTTTAATCAACTTTGTATTCAAAAGGTGATGAGCCTTTCTCCTTCTACACTCACCAATATTTCCTAAAAGGAGATTTGTTACTGTGATGTGAAACTTCCTAGAAAAGAAGGCAAATATTTTTAATTTTTAGTCTAATTTTCTTTTTCTCTAGTTTATAATGGGTTCTTTCAGTCAAGTGGGAAAAGCAAGAATGACATGTCTAGTATGTTTGTTCTAATTAATCATTCAAAGCAGAAATAAAGCAAGCTACAGTTGTCCTAAAGAATTCAATAAATGCAGTTTTTTCCTTTAATGCCACACAAAGCACAGTGGAAGAAGGAACTATATGAATACCACAGAACTTAACTTGTAGTATGGTTCACTCTCCATTCTTCCCCCACCCCCTCCAAACCTTTTATGCTCTTTCTGGTTTTAGATATTTCTATTGAAAGATCTTCTGATTCATTTCAAATCAGCTCTTTGCACCTGTCTGGGCTGGGGTGAAACTGAAACTGCATATGCATCTTGAGCATAAAATCTAATTAGCCTAAAAGATTGAAGCCTTTCACAAGGCTTCTCTTTGTATCTGTTCCAGTACTTTTCTGTGAAAATTGGCTGTTAGTTATATTAATGAACATTTTACAATTTGGCTTCTCAGTTCCCTACTGTGTAAAAAAAAAAAAAAACCACACACACAAAAAAAAAAACTTCAAAGTTCTGAAGTTTACATAGTAATAAAAATACAACTTTGTGCCTTCTCAAAAGGGTAGTCCATGTTTGACATCGTTGCCTCACATATTATTAGAGGTGTTGAGCTGGTGCCAAGACAAGACATGAGAGAATGAATAATAGTATGTGGAGAAAGTCTGCGTGCAGTTTTTAACTCTACCTGTGACATAAGTAACTTACTTTTTACTTTAAAGATACAGGTTGCACCTGTGTTAGTCTGCAGGCAAAAGTAATTGGAACTCTTGGGGAGGTAATATCTTTTATTAAACCAACTAGATTGCTGCAAAAAAAATTCCTTTTATTTGCAAGCTTTTGGGCATATGCATCCTTCCTCAGGCATAGGAGAGTGCAAAGATTGTAAAAATTTCTCTCAGGTAGAAGTGAAAATTCAGATCGCATAGAAGAGCAGAGGGTGTAAGATCTCCTGGTTGGAAAAGTTCATTTTATGCAAAAGAGGCTCAGATAAAAGTTGGAGCAGGCTCCTCTGCAATTTGAATTTTCATTTCCACCTGGGAGAAATGTTATAATCTTTGAACTCTCCTATGCCTGAGGAAGAGCATGTGTGCCCGAAAGCTTGCAAATAAAGGCGCTTTTTTGCAAGCATCTAGTTTGTCTAATAAAAAATATCACTTCCCCAAGACTTCTGATAACCTTTAAGTGCAAGCAGAAAGTAATTCTGTATGGAAAATGGCCAGTTGCATACAATTATTCACTATTTTGAACTGTAACTGGATTCTTACTCCTGTGGTGAATTGTTATTGTTCTCTGGCTTGCTTTTAGCCAAGCTTGACTTCTCTTAGTTAAATTAAAAAAATATGTAAGTATTATCATAGATCAGGACAGCTTTCAGAATAAGGTCGAAAAATAGTACATTAACTATGGACAGTGCAGACAAAAGTGTTGACTGCTGGGTTGTGATAGCCTTTTCACTTCTAGTTCTTTGATCCAAGGAAGCGGAATTGTGGAAGATCCTTGTTTGTTTGTGAGCTTGTTTGCCATTGTTGTTTGTTGTATCCTAGGTTGGGAGAAAATTAACAACTTGGAGGGTGTTGTCTGGAAGGACCCAGTGCTGGAAGATTTTAAATTGCTAGCTGACAGGGAAGGAACTCTGAGGTTGCTGTTCTCTGACCCTTTAGAGGAAATCCTGATGATAAATAATATCAGTGTTTTGTGTGTGGTATTGTATAACAGAGCTATTGAGATGCACTTGCAGTGTCCGTGACTCTTTATAACGCATTATGTTAGTATCTTAGTGTCATTCTTTAAAAACATTTAACTAGTTTCGCTTCTTCGTTTCTAGGTGCAATCCACGCCATCAGCACTCGTAGAACCTAATGTTCCAACAGGACTACTTGGTGCTTTCCTAATTTCCAGGGGTGCTGCCCTCTCTATCAGAAATAGTCCTGTTGCTGTACAGCTTCAAATTCCATAAATTTCAGTTTAACTACTATATAAAAGTCATTAGCAATCTGGAAGCAATGGGGATTGGTAAGAACACTACGTCTAAAGCAGTGGAGACTGGAAGCTCAACAGAAGGCAAATATGAAGATGAGTCTAAACATCCGGCTTTTTTCACTCTCCCTGTAAGTAAAAGTTTCAAGAACTTTGTTTTGTCGTAAAACATTTCTGTCATCTTCAGGTATCCAGATTAGCAGAAGCTTAAGCACAGTGTCAGGATATTCACAGGAGCCTTGTAGATGTTGAAATACTGAGTGGTATAGGACTAGAAAGGGCCTCTGGGGCCATAGTCTACTCTCGTGGACTCTGTTTCATTTCCATGCAATGCGGTCAGGTCCTTTGCATGCAAAGTTTCGCAGTCCAGCAGTACAAGTCTCTTTGGGAAAAGACCCGTCTGATGGGTCACTTCAGCAGTACAAGTCTCTTTGGGAAAAGACCCGTCTGATGGGTCACTTCAGTCCTTGCAAAGTGTCTCTCAGGCAGTGCTGGTAAAGATAATCTCTCCATTAGTCTGTTGCTGTCTTGAATTATCTTCCCAATTATTTGCTTAATTCTTCAATTGAAGCTTTTCCAAAAAAACATTCATAACAAAGTAAAATGTCAAGTATCGGATTTGTCTAATACTTGCTTTGTACATAAAGGGTTATAATACAAAAAGTAATCCAATTTAATTGCAACTGGACAATTGACGTCTTTGCTTTTCTGAGGTTTACTAAAGAATGATATGGCATACTTGTTACAGTTCCTGCAGCCCTAGGGAATTTGACTTTCTATGCGCATGTACATGCGTGCAACTTTTATTTTTGCTAAACTGTGCACCTATTAAACCTAAATGACCATTGCTCCAATTAGTGTTCCCTTTCAAAACCTGGATATCCAGATCAGAGTTAGTAGAATTCACATGTCTAGTAAGCTTGGTCCAAATAGTTCTTAAGTTTGAGTTGTGTTATGGGAAGGGGCACAAAAATGTAATATGGCACCTTCTAAAAGAATAAGCTGCTTAGAAGGGTGAAGTGTCAGGAGGCGGGCTGGCTGCATATTGAGTTTGGCCTGTCTTGGCAATACAACTGGGATTTGAATATGTGTGCTCTTTTCTTCACTTGTGATTTGAAAACAAGAATATGTAATTGCATTTGCAAAAGTAGCCTTTGAATAGAAAGAAAACTTAGCTCCAACCAGTGGACATTCCTAACTGAGAATTTACTGACAATCAGTTAATACATGAGATAGTGTCTGGTAAGTCTCATGAATACACAAAACTAAGTTTGAACCTTTTCCCATACCGCAGCTTACTGTAATGACAGCAAGGTGTACACACCACTTGAGCAAGTAAAACGATGCAAATGCTTCAGCTGGGCACATTCAGATGCCAAGTGGGAGATGGGATTTGTCCTAATGCATTTAAAACATCTGTGTGTCTCCAGTATAGGTTATGTGTTATGAATGACAAAATTAAGCACAAATAAATTGCTTGGCATAAGAGATGTGTGAATGAAGTAAGACCTTAGTGATAAAACTGTGATTTTATTATAGGAGTTTGTTTTTCCCTTTCCAGTTGGAGGAATCTTTGAAACAGGGGGGGCCAATCTTTTTTTGGCTAGCATGC